AGCTCATTCTGGGAATAAATAATAATATAAGTGTAGGAAACCTGTTGAAACCAGTCCAACAGTAATGTGAAATAGTTTGGTTTACTTGGAGCCTGGAACTGTGTATTTGTCTGAAAATGGTTTTAATTGGATGTTTTCTGGCATTATGTAAGGCCGCAAAAATGTAAATTACATATTTAGATTTCTCCACCAATCTAAAAATTTCTGGATCGGATAATGAGCCTATGTTTGCTGTCTTCCCTTTTCAAATTCTCTCTGTGCATTTACGTTTGTGACGGCTGCATACTGTCCACAACAAAGAAGCATCAAAACATACAGTTCATGCTGCACTGACCTGTGAAAACAGCATTACTTCCGCTGTTGACGTCTGTCTATGGGCCCTTGAGCTAGTTCATGTCCTCGTCTAAGCTTAGCATTCTTGACAAACAGTTGTACAACTTCATGAATCTAGAGGTCGGCGCCAAACTCAGACGCAGGGTGCAGAGTGAGCGGCGGCGGCGGGGGAGGGGTTGCATATGCTGAGTGATTTGATTGACAGGCTCTGTGTATATAAGCACATAACCTGGGGGTTGCAGGGAAAAGGGGCTGTGTGGTTAATGTAAAGCTTTCATCAAATCAAAGGTGAAGGGTCAAGAGTACAGTGGATGCCAGCGTGACGGCAGAGGATGATCGGGGGAGGAGAGGATGTGATGGTGCCGCAGGGGGGTCGCCAGGTCCGCTTGTTAACGAGCTTGTCAGCCGTAGCCCACGCCTCGCCTCTGACTCACACTGCCCCCAGTCTAGCTCGATGTCTCTCTCTCACTCACACACATACATGCACACACAAATAATCTGGGTCGTCTTCTTAAAGATTGTGTCTTTCCCTACTTTACTGTTCGTTGCAAACACACACAGACACACACACACACACATATATACATATATATATATAGATGCTTGCACCATCATAAAAACATTATGAGTGAATTTCATCATGAATTGCTCGAGGCGACAGGTTTGCTGCAGAAAGTCATAACTGCTTTCATGATGAGAGGAGGTGAAAAACATACTAACACCCTCACATTCATACTATCAGCCTCACCTCTCTTAGATTAAATGCACTTTCTAAACGTAGCTGTCTTGTTTTTTTTTCTTTCTTCACAGTGTTTCCATGTGTGCCAGAGAAACCCGGCATGCCCTGTCCGGGAGAAGACAGTGAGTTTAATCTTCTTTAATTTTACCTAGTGTGTCAATCGATGTCCCAAAGAAACTTATATTTAATTTACATTTTAAGTCTAAGGCACGTCAGCAAATTATTTTACCCAGGAGTTTAATTAAATGTTTGCACAATCTATATCGATGGTCATCTGACTACAGATTCGCAGATTAGGGCTGTCGCAGTATTAAATACTAAATCAAACACAGGGAATGGCAAGCTGCCACCACAACTGCATGTGACTTCACGTCATCACATCATGTTCAGTATTTGTTTTTCGAGATGGGAGAGCATCCCAGAGCAGTACAAACAAGTACTGAGATGAAACATTGGTTGTAGTATTTTACAAAAATGACATTAATACCATGCTGTTGAGGAATCCTAAATCAGGGGAAATTCCTTCACCGCAACAGTCCTATTGCCAATTAAATAGATTGTGATTTTATTTTTACACTAATACACACCATTCATTACACACAGGTAAAGCAGAACTTAGCCCTCCTTTTCCTCTTTTCACAGAGTCAATATATCGGCGTGGAGCCCGGCGCTGGAGGAAGCTTTACTATGCCAGTGGTCACGCCTTCCAGGCCAAGCGCTTCAACCGGGTAAGACACGACACTGAATTTTGTTTAGCAGTATTTGTGCTATATATTTAATACTGTGTATGTCACATGTTGTACATTATCATTGCTTAATTATTGTACTGGGGGAAATATCTGCTGTGTAAAACGACTAAAGCCTGAACACAATGCACATTTTAAGGTTTAGTTACTGTATATATATCCACTGCCTGTAAGTAAGTTGTCTTTGTATTGATCGATTGACGGTGGTGATACAGAACGATGGCTGTGGTGGGATTTGATTCCAGACTAGCAGTCGTACGTGGTTCAGAATCCATCACAACCCATCATAAAAGACAATGTGTGCATGTTTGTGATGATGATTTCTCTCCGTCTGCCCTTCTGAGCAGCGAGCCCACTGTGCCATCTGTGCAGACCGTATCTGGGGTCTGGGAAGACAAGGCTACAAATGCATCAACTGCAAACTGCTGGTGCACAAGAAGTGCCATAAACTGGTCACAGTGGAGTGTGGCAGACCAATGATCCAGGTGACAAATACTCATTAGCTTGATGGCGTGAAGTCGTTACCATCCCTGATGCATATAGTTTTAAGATTTCATTCTGTTTCTGTGCTGATTTTACTTAATGAAGAATGTTGTTGTCTAGGAACCAATGATGCCTGGAGCTCCATCGAGTCCATTAGATCCAACTGAACAGCCAGGTAACACACACACACACACAGACTCATGGGTACACACACACTTCTAAATATACATTATATACATATAAATAATATACTTTACATATGGTAATCAGAAGTCAGAAGCTCCTTCTTTGCACAAAAAATGAAATAGTTTTGGTTTAGAAGGACATAAAATAGGTAAAAATCACATAAGAGACTGACCAAGTTCATCAAGATTCAGGCTTTTGTTCATTTATGCATTTCTAAAACATGTAAGTTTTACTTTTTCCCTGATTTAATTCTTACACTTATATGTTTGCCAAGACTTAAATTTCTATTCTTAAAAAGATAAGGCTTCTGATATTTCTTTATTTTTGTTATTGTCAACAAATTCCATAAAAAGACCCAAACCAGTCCCAATGCTCTCTGACTTTCTTAGCTTGTTTGTGGCACTAACCTCCAAGCCACATCATCCTTCATTTGGAAAATGTAAATCTATAAAAACAGGTTATAATTTAATTTCTTTTATAGGTTTATAAAAAAGTCTAAAGCAGAAGCATAGCCAAGTGGTTCAGCGTACACGAATGACTGCAACGTACCCGGGTCCATTCGAGACGGGGACTTTTGTTGCATGTCATACCCGTCTGTCTTCACTTGTTTCCTGTTGGCATTATTATAGCAGCGGCCACCCAGACTACAATTTGGTCAGCTGCATTTGGGGTTTACCTACAGCACCAGACTTAAGTCCAGTCAGGTGGTTGAGAGGCTGACGGGTATGAGAGAGCTTAAGATCGTTGTTGCTATTGTTAGTGAGGCAGTTGAAACTCCCTCTGCTATAAATACTCGCAGGCCACCTGCAAAGTTGTGAGGTGCAATCATGGAAACACTGGGATGCAGAGAGCTTTGTTTAAGCTTGTTTTGATGATCTATGTTGAACACGATGACCTAAATGATCATTGGCGATATGAGAAGACACATTTCTTCTCCGTGTGTATGTACATAGTTAGTTTATACTTACTCTGGTTTTGTTGTATTGTTAAACACAGACAAAAAGGTATTTTCTTTTCTAACCAAGCAGAGAGAAATTACTCTGGCACTGTAAGGCTGTGAACAAAGCGTGTGACTGTCTCTCACCTACTTTTTCTACTTCTTTTCTCATCTCTCCTATTTTTTTTTTCCTCTCCTGCCTCCCCCTCTCCTTCTGTCGGTCTGCCACTTTCTCCTCTCTCTTTCTCACAGGCCCGCAGAATAAAGACTCCAGAGAAAGCTTGCCTTACGATGGAGAGGAGAAAGAGGTGAGAGAGAAATCTTTTCAAACAGCGCTGATGTGTGACTCACAGTCTGTCAATCTGTCATGTTGTCTAGATGGATGTGTGTGTGTATATTTAGAGAGAAAAAACTGAGTTGTTTGTGTGAGAAGGAGAAAGAATAAGATCACCTGTAATTGGAAGTAGGTTTTTGTCTGCTTATATTTTCTATCGTGTACATTCAGGTGATTCTTCTTCCACCTGCTGTGCATGTGTGATATAGAGAGCATGCAGACGTAGGCACCCTTGCAATGCTGTGGGTATTGATTTCCTTTGGTGGGGCTAATAAAGTAACCTTTTATCACAGCTCTTAACACCAGAGGCTGATTAATGGCTAGGGATGTAGTTTGGGGTTGGAGCGGGGGTAGTTGGACTGAGCAGGAGAGCTGAAGATAGAAAAAGAATGGATTGAGTTGGATACAGATAGACGGAGATAAAAGAGGGCAAGCCAAATGATCTTATCTGTGGTTCCATGTCTGACTCTGGGGACGGGGTTGTCACGTGAAGGGAGGTTAGATGGATAGGTAGTGGAATTGGTTCACTGCACAACAGATTACAGGAGAGAAGAGACAGAAAGATAGGTGAGGAAATGGTGAAGATGGTAGTCAGGTATACCAAGAAGTTGGACAGCGAGCGTTTAATCCAGTGGGGGCAGCATGATTATATTTCTACAGAAAGTCATTACTAAGATTAACTGTAAAACTGTGGTGCTTGTTTAAACCTCATTTATAAATCACCCAAAGGAAATCACCATCTCGCACAAGCCAAATCACCAGCTCTATCAGCGGTTGCATGACTAACTGTCTCAGAGTTGACTTTGTGTTTATCACATTATGTTGTTTGTATGGTCTCATGTTTGTCCTCTCACTCACCGCTAACTGCCCCCCAGGCACGAAGCAGTAGAGACACGGGGAAATCGCCTTCCAGCCTGGGCCTGGCAGACTTCGACCTGCTGAGGGTGATCGGTCGAGGCAGCTACGCCAAGGTGCTGTTGGTGCAGCTGAAGAAGACGGAGCGCATCTACGCCATGAAGGTGGTGAAGAAGGAGCTGGTCAATGACGATGAGGTAAACGACGCTGATGCCGTCAGAGTCAAAATGTTGGCATTGTGACAAATTGTAGGTCAGCCTTTGCTTGGGCTGGGTTGTGGGTGATGTAGTTTCTTTTTATGGAGTTATAATTAAGGATGGGTCACAATAGTCTGCTCCATTTTGGGTAAAATACCTGAACTCATTAAGCTCCGCAGCCATAAATCCCTAATCGAATCTCTCATTCATGATCTTAGATTGTCTCTTTTGCCTCTTTCCGACACTACAGGCGTCTGCAAAGAAACAAAAACTGGTGAGGTATACAAACACGTGCTAACAAGACTGACTGACAGCAAAGTCAACAAAATAACAGTGAAATGTAATATTTGCAGGAGATTACTCACAAGACCCATGTTTAGGTATTTCAAATATGTGGTGAAATCCCCAGGTTTAAGTGAAAACTGAGGAAATTAAATTTAATTAATTCCTCACTAAGCAAACTACCAAAAAAATATGGTAAGAGATTCAGAAGGATTCAGATTCGATAAGTGAATTTGGAGCTGGACTTTTATAATGCTTTCACACCCTATCCCTAGTTATAATGTATTAACTCCATAAAAAGAAACCAAACTGTGAATGAGCACTTTTTTCAGCATTAATTGGCTCAAGATCAAAGACAGAAATCAGCCGTCATCTCCAGTGCTGAGGTTTTTCACAATGATAAAACTGCCATCTGAAACTGCTGCTAGTTTAGATGAATGTAAAAGGAACACGAGTGTGTTTCTATAGCGGCAAGTAACAATTATTTTTATTAGTGATTGTTCAGTTGAGTAATTTCTCAATTCTTTAATTGTTTTAACTATAATACATAAAAGTAAAAGTGCCCATCTCTGTTTCCCAAAGCCCAATGGGACGTCTTTAAATGTCATGTATCTGTTCAACCAACAGTCTTTAATTTACAATGAGAACAGACAAAAGCAGTAAATTCTTACATTGCCGAGGCCGGAAGCAGAGAATGATTGGTATTTTTTCTTTAAAGACAACTTAAAATTAATCAATTATCAAAATATTTGTTAATGTTGATCAACTTATCAATTAATCAACTAATCAATTCAACTTTAGATGTTCTGGTATAATCTTACTTATGTGTTAATAGTGAAACAAGTGACCTAATACATTACAACCTGTAATTTAGTTGGACTACAGTGGCTGCAAAACTCACAAAAGGCCGACTTTTGGTTTTCTCCTTTCTGGGCTACTGTAGAAATATGGTGGACAGTTCTTAGTTTCAGGTTATTTTACACTAATGAAAACATGCCTATGAATATCATATTCCATTTCCTCTCATTAGGAGGAGCTCCTAAATGTTACACACGGGACCTTTTTGTCCAGGTGTATATCTGCTTAAGAAAGAAAGCTGTCTGTGAGACAAAAAGGAAGAGGGTTAGTTAATAGTGAAGTCACCAGTCTTCTGTCGCTGTCATGTATAATTAATACAATTAAACACAATCAATAAGAGGTGTTATCCATAGCACAATGAATGTTTGTCTCACGCGATTGAACATCCATCTTGTGTATCTTCTGTCTGAAACACTTTGAGTTATGTTGACAGACCTCTTCCAAGCCATCAGTCTCTTCTAAGAAGGTGTAGATAAACCATCATGTCATCAAAAATTTATCTCGATGTACACATGTAGCAGCACAGCCAGAGGCAATGGGAGTAGTTAGCCTTGATTAGACGCACTTAGCGTGATTGACAAATTGACAAGTGCCCTTCGATCAATGGTGAAGTGTTGTGCTGTCCCTGCCCTGCCAGCGTGAGCAGCATCCGTGTCCAGACATATTATCATCCGGCCATCAATAGAGACCTGCTTCAGCTTCTACTGGCTCAGCCCTTTTCTCCTTCCGCTGCCCACCATGCACATGAGTGAGCCTCAATCTGTAGATGATGGTCGATCAAGCGCCATGCTTATTCAGCTTGTATAAGTTCAAGGGTACTGTGTGAGAAAGTTCTCTGATGATACTTTTTGTGTGTGTGTGTTTTTTCTCTTCCAGGACATCGATTGGGTTCAAACAGAAAAGCATGTGTTTGAGCAGGCGTCTAATCATCCCTTCCTGGTTGGCCTACACTCCTGTTTTCAGACAGAAAGCAGGTGAGAACATCTGTCCTGTAAAAGTCTCGCAGAAGCCTGCAGGAATTTGAAAAAATAACCGAATTTTAATTTATTTTTAAGTCAATTAAGCATAGGTTGCATAGGGTGACTGCTTACAGAAAGACACAAATGACAAAATAGATGGTTTGTCAGCAAAACATTACAAAATGGTACATATGTGTGTTTAAAAAGCTTGTTTCCTCTCCAACGGCTGCTGTGGTTAAGGTATGTTAAAGTTGAAGGTAAAGAGAACACTTCCTGAAGGTCAGGGAAAGAGTGTGGGCATGTTTAAAGTTAGGAAGATCACGGTAAAAGTGGTTTCAAAAGTGGTAACCTTAAAGATTACCTTCCCTTAAAAACGGGTCAGAAACAAAATAAAACCATTGTTGTTAGTGTTTTCCAGCGTTCATCAGATCTGGTTTGGTCGAAATAAAGCCTTAATTCACAGAGTTAGAGGAGAAAATAGCAAGCTACAATGGCTGCCACGTAACTTTAGTTAATCCTTGGGGACAAATGCGCCGGTCAAAGTACGTCCAATAAAGTGTTTGTTTTTGCTACTGACAGGCTCAGATTGTTATTCTAAGTGTCTGACAACATTATGAGAAGGATTCCTACAGAGATATACATTTAGTTTATCCAGAAACAGCAGTAATATCGCTCGCCACCAGACTGCGTAGTTAAAGATTGCGTGTGTGTTCGTGTGTGGTTATAGGTATGGTTTTTGTTTTTAAAACTATAGATAAAATTAGTAAATTTAAATAAATGTAATGTAAAATAACCAAATGTGTTCTAACTTAAAAAGAACTGTGTGTGTGTGTGTGTGTGGAAAACATAGGTTTTCCTTTTAAAGGCATTATTGATTTATTTATCTCTTAACATTTTCTTCTTTTTACAGACTCTTCTTTGTTATTGAATATGTGAACGGTGGAGATCTCATGTTCCACATGCAGAGACAAAGGAAACTCCCAGAAGAACACGCCAGGTAGAGTCTATTCCCTGTCTCATTAAAATGAACAGGATTGTTGTCATGTATTGTCTTTTTGTAGTGTCTTACACCCGAATCTCTGTTTGTTTTTCAGATTCTACTCAGCAGAGATCAGTCTGGCGCTCAACTACCTCCACGAGCGGGGAATCATCTACAGAGATCTGAAACTGGACAACGTGCTGCTGGACTCTGAGGGACACATCAAACTTACAGACTATGGCATGTGCAAGGTGCGGTTTAATGTTTTAGTTAGCATTAAAGCTCCATACCCCAATGCACTTTGGATAAAAGCACCTGCAAGGCTGCATACGTGTCGGTTTACAGCCCTTTGAGATGATCTCACAGCTGATGATCTTTTTGTTTTTGCAGGAGGGTTTGAGACCAGGCGATACAACGAGCACTTTCTGTGGTACCCCCAATTATATCGCCCCCGAAATACTCAGAGGAGAGGATTATGGTGAGAATTACAAGACGCAAGCACTTAACAGAAATGCTATCCATTTCTTTGCTATGATACAGTATATGAGGCATTATGCAGTAATATCTGGGATGCTGCTTTCAGTCATGATGATGGATGCTACTGTGCTGCAGTACCTGGGTTATCTGTACTACTTACAAGACCTTTAAATGAATAAACACACTATAAAAGCAAAAGATGAAAAAAATAAATAAAAAGGTACAAGGATCTCTGGGGGGGTGGGGGCACTGCAGCATGAAAAAGAAATAGAAAGGGAGTAACAAGAGCTAAAAATGAGCAAATATACTACAAAAAGCAATAAAAAGCTAAAAAAAAATAGTGAATATATTTGAAAAATCAACAAAATAATCTGTATTTAGTGAAATCTTCTAATGCTATGTATTTAACTGATTATTTAGATTGTATTGGTTGAAAAACAAATGGTGCAGTTAAGGATGAGTAACAACCATTTACATCTAGCTGCTCCAGTTTCAGGGTTCTGGTATTGTTGTGGTTTACTGGGACACTTTAATAGAACAAAGCTATCGTTAATGTTATTAGCAACACCTGTGGTTTTCCCGCACTCACGACTCAAAATGTTGAACAGTGTATTGTTCCAGCATCAAAATCCACTTACATACATGAACATTATCCACTGTAATAATTAGACCCGCCATTGTACCCTGTATAATCCATTTTACTGCTTAATAGAAAATAGAAACAAGCCATGTTGGTTTTTTTTTTATTTTTTTATGATGACTAATGCTGAAGACAAACAGTTCAGTTTATCTGATAAATTACATAATTAAGCCTAATTTAATTACACATGTGCTACTGGTTTTGCATGGACCCTGCTTGCACAGTCCGTTATAATGAAGCTGGTTTATTTAGCAAACTACAATAAAAATAAAAGTTAACAAACCTCTTCTGTGGATGAAAGGAATATGCAAGAAACCATAAAAAGGGGAATTATTTGGTCAGTAAAATATTCAGTAAGATGCCAACAAATCTCTCATCAAACCTTTTATCTCTCTTTTTGTTATATTCCCCATTTTGTGAAGCTGGTTGTGAATATTAATCAGGCTGCCTCTAAAATGTGTAGTGTCTCTGTATCTCTGAGTTGTACTTTGAGCCTTAAGTTACATTCAGATGTTGAAATGTAACTTACACCACTATGTGCTCTTTTGGAGTGTGTAGATCTTAAACGATGTGGAGCGAAAACCAGAGATAATTCTGTTTTGTAAATGTTGTTTTTAAAACACCTCTGTGTGTATATTTCAATATAACTCAGCCCTGATGGTTTGCACACTTTGTATAGAGTTTTAAGCCGAGGGGTCAAAGCATGCAAAAACACTGGTATGGTGTTTTCATGGTGGGAGTGGTTGCTATAGTAACTCTAAAGTACTGGTGTCCTTTGTGCAGTTGTGAGCAGTCAGTCATTTAAAGTATATGAGCCAATAAGAATCATGTTTAACCGTCTAAAAACATTACCATAAAGGTTCTTGTGTACCTTGTTTTAAGATTAAATACACACAACTGTTGTTCTTCATGGGATTGCTTTGTTAAAACCTCAGTCTTCTTTCTTCCTGTCAGAACTGTGATGTGTAACATACTGTGTGTGTGTGTGTGTGTGTGTGTGTGTGTGTGTGTGTGGTCGTGTGGTGTGGTCCTCAGGTTCGGGTGTGGACTGTGGTGGGGCTGGGCTTGCTGATGTTCGAGATGATGGCGGCGGGTCGCCCTTCGAGCATCAGTCGGGAGCTCTGACAACCCCAGACCAGAACACGAAAGAACTACCTCTCTCCAAGGTAACACAGCACAACAGCCACACACACACACAGCTGGAGCGTTTGATAAATCGCAGAGACGGAAAACAACAGCTTGCGGTGGGAAGCATGTCACACCGTGGTTGTATGTGAGGACGCGTTTCTGGGATGCGACGTCCCCACTCCAGGCAGTATGCATCTGTGTGACGCAGGGAAAAGTGGTGAATGCATGTGTGTTTGCGCGGTCTTCAGGGACCTGGTTTTATTGTCTGTGGCGTGTCGTAGTGTGTCATTGCTTGGTTTTCATAAACTGTTGGAAACAAAATGTTGGTTGAGCTTATAACTGCCGGGTGTGGTCTTACGCTGTGTGTGTTTGATGTGTGTGGGGAATAAAAATGTTGGAGTTGTCCCAACGCGCTGTAACAGCCACCCTGATTCTCAAAAGAAAGGGTTTGATATTTTTTACTCAGAAGCACTGTTGACAGGTGTCTGAAATTGAAAGGCGGTGCTGTACGGTGTCGCCATGTTTAGCTGCATTTTCACATCGCGGTGAGTAATTCCAGCCGCACGTGACCCAAGGACAGACATAGACTCTGTGTCAATGCGTCGCAGGCAACGTGAAGATGTCCCAAAGTGCTCAACCCAATCTCCTGTCACCACGATGTTTAAGGGCACTTAAGGTACACGGTCACACTACCAGACCACGCATACAAGAACTATCGGTGTACACCATTCCGCCTCCTCTATCTAGCCCCTACATGTTATAGCTACTTTCATCGCACTAATTCCAACTTCCAGTTCCTCGTCCGCAGGAAGAAAAAGGTAAT